GTGTGTGTGTGTGTGTGTGTGTGTGTGTGTGTGTGTGTGTGGGGAGGTGCAGTACTGCTAAGCTTAATGCTGCAGGCGGCAGTGCTGCCTTCAGAGCTGGGCAATTGGAGAGCAGTGGCTGCTGGCCGGGAGTCCAGCTCTGAAGGCAGAGCTACTGCCAGCAGCAGCACAGAAGTAAGGATGGCATGGGCGCTGCTGCCTGCAGAGCTGGGCCCTCAGTCAGAGGCAACCACTCTCTGGCCTCCCAGCTATGAAGGCAGCATAGAAGTAAGGAAGGCAATACCATGTTCCCCCCCCCCAAAATAACCTTGTGACCCCCCCCTTTTGGGTCAGTACCCCCAATTTGAGAAATGCTGGTCTCCCCCATGAAATCGATCTAGTATAGGGTAAAAGCACACAAAAGACCAGATTTCATGGTCTGTGATGCATTTTTCATGGCCATTAATTTGGTAGGGCCTTATTTATAGATGCCTAGAAAAATGATTGTTGATCAGGGTTGGCAACTTTTGGCATGCGGCCCATCATGGTAATCCACTGGCAGGCCATGAGATGTTTTGTTTATTCCTGGCCAATGGGAGCTGCGGGCCACCACTTCATAGAATGGAATATCAGGGTTGGAAGGGACCTCAAAATGTTATCTAGTCCAACCCCCTACTCAAAGCAGGACCAATCCCCAGACAGATTTTTGCCCCAGATCCCTAAATGGCACCCTCAAGGATTGAACTCACAACCCTGGGTTTAGCAGGCCAATGCTCAAACCACTGAGCTATCCCTCCTCCCTTCCTGCAACTCCCATTGGCTGGAAATGGCAAACCGCGGCCACTGGGAGCTGCGGGGGGTTGTGCCCACAGACGGTCAACATAAAGAAAATGTCTCGCGGCCCGCCAGGGGATTACCCTGATGGGCTGCGTGTTGAAGGCTGCCGACCCCGATGTAGTTAATAAAACTGGCCACAGGGTGTCACTGATGTTGCACCCAAGTGCATCTGAATTAGCACTGTCTGAAAAGCCCTGACTCACAAACCATTGAATGTATTTATTCCTTAATTACTCTAGGCACTTAGATTTTGACTAGGCTCTTATTTTCTCTTCCAGTTACATATGGCTGTCCTGGCAGTAAGTCATCCGTTAAATGAAAGCAAGGTGTTTTCCTTCCCCCACGGTGTTAAACCAAGGTTCCTTCTGCCCATCTCTGTCTGTACTTCGGAAGTGTTAAAGAGCTCATGGCAATGGGGTTAGCCTCAGTTTAGAGCAATAACCTCTCTCTTCACAAGATAAATGCTAATTTCTTAGGTTGCATGGGAACATTTGCTGGATGCAGATTTTGCCTCCATCAGTTGTGGACAATATTCATCCTTAAATTACTAAGGCCATGTCCACACTAGGAATGGTTTACTGGTCTAGGAATACCAGTATATAATACTGGCAAAGTGCTTCTAGTGTGGCTCTAACTAGAGTAAAACCACCCCCCACAAGCAAAGCGAGCTATACCAGTAAAAGCACAGCTTTGCTGGTATATCTGCATCTACTGCAGAGGCTTCTTTACAGCCCTGGCTGATGTAGCTGTGCCAGCACAAGTCTGTAGTGTAGTCAGAGCCCAGGTCTAGGATACTGACTACAAGTACTGCCATGTGCTTCACATCGCTGCTTCCTTCTGCCTATGCCCCAAACAGAAATGGGCAACTGCCTCCTTCCCTTCCCCTCTCTATGAGCACCCTCTTCAGTTGCCTTCTTGTTGCCACTGATGGGACAAACACTTTAGCTCTCAGATTTCTGGCAAGTTGCCATTGGGACCCTTGGTGTTGCAGAGATTGTGCACGGCCAGCCTCTGACGCATACCTTTGTAAAGTACTTGTAGGTATTCTAGACACCATAGTGAAGATCTGGGTAACTAATCCTCATGCATGAGGGCATTCATTGATCGCTGGTGAGGGTCTGGATGGGATCTCCCCTGAGCCCTTCAAAATTTCATATAATGGATGTTTTTTCCACCTTACTCTGCAGCAACAGGTATTGTCTGCTGCCAGAGGAAGGCTGTTATATATAGATGGTCCTATGGTTTGATCTTTTATGGAGAGCTTGCTCCTGGAGCAGAAAAGCTGCATCATTGCAAGCATTGGCATGGGCTATACAAGCCAGCCCCAAATCAGCAGCTTCACTGTTCCCATAAACAAACTAGCAAGATTAAAGCTAGCTAGCTCAAGCTGCAGTCACAACTAGGGTGACCACCTTTGTTGGATGGAAAAATAAGGGACAGTGCTTTATTTTAAGGGACATTTTAGGGAAACACGATTTACCTTAGCATATCAAGTGTACATTTCTGCTGCCCTCCAGTATACAATGCAATTATCATAAGCATCAATTTAGTGTTTAAAATGGTCAAGAGACATCAATTAAGCGAAGGGACGGGTGGTCACCCTAATCACAACTCATGATTGCAGTCTAGACATACCCCGTGTTCTTAGGGCATGATAGAGATTCAGTTGTTTGATTACTTCTCACTGCTACATTTTATCAGAGAGAAAGATGCATTCACTATACTTTCTTACAACAGATTTACACCAATCCCAAGGAGCCACAGGTAAGAAGGAGTCGAGCTCTACTTAGGGGGGAAATAAATTGTAGGGGTGAGTTGTACTATATTCAGAATGGGCTCATAGGATTAAATTCTGCTTTGATTTGACAGGTATGCATGGTTAAGCGAGGAGACATAAGCTACCTCTTTCTCTTATTCCTTCAGCCCAGCAGACCAACTCAGATGCCAGGCAGAGTGGTGATCAAGTGCCCCTGTTGAACACTAGGCTGTTGGCCTGTCTGATGCACCTAGTGATGCTTGTTGGGTAGCTCAGGGGCATAGGTAGGACCTTGCTCCCCTCTGCTGAAGACCAGAAGCAGGAGCTGGGGATAATGCACACTGTTCCTTTATGCACCAACTGTCAGCAGCACTGTTAAAGGGTGACTTTCAGTCTGATCAGAGAGGTCCACTGCAAGGCCTACTCACCACTTCAGCCCTGGGATGTAGGTGGTGCATAGAGCACTTGTTGGTCCTTTTGTACAGTGGCGAATATCACCCTGCTCTATATTGCCCCGTGAGCCATTATGTCTTCATCTGTCCTATAAAGACAGAACCTCTGCTCATCCACTACTGTTCCACAGCCCCCCAATGCTGCTCATGGAAGAAGAGCAAGAATTTACTACCAAGGCTGGGATTATTATTCCCCTCCAAAACCTTACTGAAATGCTCTTTAAATGTGTTATAGTCAGAGCTGTTTACGGTTTCTTATTTTCCTCAGAAAATTTTGAGTTTTCAGCAAAATATCGAAAACTGAAATATTTTCATTCTGATATGCTGCCGCTGTCCCATAGGAGTTGTAGTTCTGACACCTCACGCTCCCATTCACCTCTATAAGTTCCCTGGTAGGACTGCATCTCCCATGATGCACCATAGGTCCCCTCTTGGCAAGGGAAGGGTGTGTCCAGGGTGCATCACAGGTCCCTCTTGGCAATGACAGTTGCATGGCCAAGGTGCATCATGCAGATGTAGTCTGGCTGGGGAGCCTGGCCCAAGAAGAAAATGGGAGCAAGAGGCACCTGAACTACAACTTCCATGAAACCCTGCGGCACCATTTCAGAATTGATATTTTTCTGTTTTCAGGCTTAATTTTTTTTTTTTTACTAAAAAAAAAATCTGCAGAAAGAAGACACTTTTTGCAAAAAAAAAAATTATTTAGTCAAAAAACCAATTTTCCATTGAAAAACCATTTGGATGCAAAATTTTCGACCAGCCCTAACCATAACATCACTAGTGTAAGCTCTAGTTAACATTATGGCCTCCTGTTTTAAGTGGCTCCTGATTTTTCTCCCCCAGCTTCCTTTTGAGTTGGAGTTTCTCATGTTTCTTCTCAGCCCAGAAGTGAATTTGCATTTGATTCTTTTAAGAAAGTTTGACAAAAATCTGCAGATGATTTTTGAGATCAAAATGGAGCCTAGTCAGTAATTTGATCCTGCTAGACAGGCATAGGAATGAGGAAGCATGGACACCAGAGAGTTTCCTGCACAATCTATTGAGCTTTCTTTGGGAACATGTTGCTGAAAGACTTGTTTTTTTTCTGCTCCCTTTGTGAATGTCTAGAGGGTGACTGAGCTGTATCAGTTCAAATTCAAGTATACAAAGGACGGTCCCCAGATGGATATCGTCAGGTAATGGCTTTGTTTTATTTGTGAAAAATACACAGTGAGAAATTTGCTTCATCAAAACATTTTTAAAGCAAAAACTGTTCCTTTGTGATTGTATCATGCACCCCTCCAATACCATGAGGTGCTGAAGGGCTTCATCTGCCATTGAACTCAGTGGAAATTAAGGGCACTCAGCATCCTGCAGGATCTGAACTCCTGCGCTGATGAGCTTACATATCACAGTACATGTGCTGTAACATCTTGACATAGCAGAGCTGCATTAAGGACAAGATTGATGTATCCCACCCCCACTCTGTGTAGCACTGTGCCCCCCTCTGGTGGTGGCTGGGCCATACATAGAATTCGATGAGCCTGCTACAGCCTGGGCTAACAGAGCAGGATGTTGTACTTCAGGCAATAGTCTCATGCTTTGAAATTCAGAGGTCCCACGTTCAATCTCTGGCTGCCAATGACCACCCTTGGGTGCAGCATAATATCGACACCATAAGGATTGTTCTTCTTCAAACATTTGTTCGGCTCTCACTGTAGGTGTATGTGCCCTGTGTGCGTGAGCCTGGAATCTTTTAGCTGGCCGTGCCTGTTGGGGCTGTACATGTGCCTCATATGCCCCCTACATCAGGGTGAAAAAGGAGGGGCAGCCCCAACAGCTACTCAGTTCTTTCTCACTGCCCATGGTAGCAAGTCACAGCCCTTAGTGTCCTCCTGCTTCCTCTTAGCCTTTTAGTACTTTAGAGGTATAGTTAGTTAGCTTGGAGTTAATGTATTTTCTTGGTAAGTTTTATTTAAGTTTGCTGCTAAAACAAGCAAACACAAATTAAAGCAATTTTGCTTTCTATGAGTCTTGCCTTAGTACCAAGGAATAGTTCTGATGGTGGAAAACAGGTCTCTGAGCTTTAAAATCTGCCCTGCCTGCAAGACTGTTGTGCTTGCCAATGATGCATCTAGAAAGTGTTTAGGGGAGTCTCATATCCCTAGCTAGTGTGCCATTTATAACTCTTTTTCTAAGCACATACAGAGGGGTCATGATGCCTGTTTAAAACTATTTTTAACGGAAAGATCTATGTGGAGTGTGTCTGAGGTACCCCCTTGGGAACAGTCTCTTCTGGCTTTGAAACCAGTTTCAATGAGTGCTTCAGCTATAAGAGACATCTCTCTGGGAGATAGATCTTTTGTCCTCAGAAGACTTCATGCTGCTGTCAAGCTCTCTGAGTTTTCTTGTCAGTTGTCCTCAGGTCAATCAGTAGTTCCTGCTGCAAGAGGCAGGAAAGAACAAAGATCTCCAGACAGGGCTCAGCACCGATTGCCATCCCTAGTACTAACAAAGAACTTGTCTAAAATGGCTCCTTTGAAACCACATTGTTATTGTGAGTCTTCAAAGACTGGGAGAATCATGTTCCTTAGCTACGATACTATATCCTATACCTTCGGTGACTGACAATATTATCTCGGTACTGTGGGCATCAGTACCATATATCTTGGAGTCATGGGCGCTGCCTTCTTCATCCACTAAGGTTGCTTTGACATCACCTACTATCACTTTGGAACAGGAGTCCCCATTGCTAGATTTCTCTCCTTTATCTCCAGTACCCAGGACTCTTTTGGTACCACAGCCGAACGTTCCGAAGATGAAATTTTTTCCATGTCCAACCTCTGTGGTGTTGGTGACTACCTCTCATGCTGTCAGATGTGAGGCTCTTCCTGTTTCTACACCTCAGGAATCAGCTCCCCTGTGAAAGGAATTTTATACATTTTCATCCTCATCTTTGCATGGCATCAGGAGCCCTTCTAGGAGATCTCCAACTCCCCTAGCAACATGTGAATGGCCTTGGAAGGAGTGCTTCAGAAAGGTCTCGTTCCCTGGTTTCCACATTTGTGGTACCATATGCCCTTCCCATGTGGTTTGCAAACCTAGCCCTCTTGGTCTCTGTGGAGACCTCAGCCTCTTCCATCGACTGCTTATTCATCTGTTTCAAGATCCAACCTAGGGATGCTCCCTACCTGCCCCTGGCCCTCCGGGCCTTGTCATCAAGTGCCTGCACCTGCTAGCCCCTCCGGCCGCCCCCTCTGTGTTTTTGAACCATGCCTAGGACACAGTTGTACATGCTCGTGCTCTATACTTTTAATTTCCTCACCCTTGTCTCCTGCCCCGACACCAAGTGGCAGGGCCTCCTACCATCTGTGGGGGGTGAGGAGCCCTGGTGGATCAGTCTGTATTCCACCTTGGTTCCACGGCCCGCCGGGAATATTAGTTGGTGGCTCCTTCATGGACCCGTGTGCACAGGTGTGTATTTGGTGTGGTACAGCCCCCTTCCGGACTACTTGCCCCTTCAGTGGCAAGATGGAAATCTTGGTGCATATCTGTCTCGAATACACCAGCCTGCAGCCCCTATTCCAGCTCTTCCAGAACCTTCTCCTCAGGTTCTGGCTGCACTTTCCCCAGCACCTTCTGATGTCTGCACACCCTATCCATGGCCCCATGAAGTCGCAAGACCTCCTGGTCAACTTCTTCCTGGCGCTGGCCAAGCTGGCCATCCACCATACCAGGAGGAGGATGCTGGACGTGGAAGTATTCTGTGACTGTGGGGTTTTTCTTCTTCTTTGCACACATATCCGCGCAGAGTTCGCAGTGGGCTCTGTCTGGGGTTCTCTGCTCAGCATCTCCCTCTGGCTTCCTGCTTTTGACCCTGTGACCTTCATCTCCCATTCCTGTTTAATCATTTGTTATCCCCTGCCTTTACTTGAACCCTTGGTTTATTGACTCCTCCCTTTAGCCTGAGGGAGAGGCCTTCAGAAGCCCACCTGCACCCAGGATTTCAATAGATTCATCAAGATCCAGAGTAAAATTGCCCTTTTCCCTTAGTGATTCTTTTAGGGAGTCTCATTCATCTTATCAGAAGCTCCTGCAAATGAGGATGTCCTCATGGAGGAATATGAGGACCAGCCTATTCCTTGGCCATCTAACAAGACCATGACTCTGTCTGATATGTCCACAATACGCAGTGTCGGGGCCTTTGAGGACCTCCTTAAAAGAATGGTGGGTACTTTAGAGAGTCTCATGGAGAATGTCCAGGAGAAGTCTCATAACTTCTTGACATGCTGCACCTAGTGTCCCAGGATTGTTGGACCATGGCTATTAATGAAAGACATTCTTGAGTTTGCCATCTAAGAGGGCAGATCATTTGTACTTTTTTGAGGGGGTTGACTACTTTGTTACACACACAGGCCCTGGGTCTTTGGTTGTAATGATAACTTAGGAAAGCTCTAAGCTGCCTGGACCCCCTAAACTTAAACCCAGGAACAAGGAGTGCAAGCAGATGGATCTTCTGGGGAGAAAAGTTTACTCATCTGTTAGTTTGCAGACTTGCATAGCTGATAATCAAGACTTATTAGCTAAAACAATTTTCTTCAGGGGAAAGGTTTTACATCTGTCTGAAAAACCTCCTCAGGAGACCATAGATGAACTGAAGGCAGTGGCTACAGAAGGCCAGTTGGTGGCCAAGACAGCTCTGCAGGCCTCACTGGATGTCTGACACTGCAGTATGGTGAATGACTGCTGCAATCACTAAGACAGGGGTCGGCAACCGTTGGCACGTGGCCCATCAGGGTAATCCGCTGGTGGGCCACAAGACATTTTGTTTATGTTGACCATCCGCAGGCACGACTCCCCACAGCTCGCAGTGGCCGCGGTTCGCCATTCGCGCTGCTCCCATTATCACTTCTCTGTTAAAACTTTGTGTTTGGTAGTCATCACCTTGGCTGGCAGGGTAACAAAAATTCAAGATTTGATGGCTGATTCTCTGTATACTTTGTTTCATAAGGACAGATTTACTCTAAGGCATCATCCAAATTTTTTACCAAAAGTAGTTTTGGTCTTCCATATAAGTCAATTTATTGCCTTACCAATATTTTTTTGTAAGCTTCAAGATTCGCCTACAGACACTAAACTCTACTCACTAGACATATTTAGGGCTACGTCTTTTTATCTTTCCAGAAAAAAGCCTTTTCTTAAATCATCTCAACTTTTGGTAACTTTTGGTAGCAAGACTGTATGCTTGCAAAGACTTTCTAAACAGGTTACAGGCTGCATTAAAATGTCCTGTTCTGTGAATAAACTACACGTAGGAGCCCAAGTCTCATTGAGAGTCAATGGAGTTAGGGTCCTGTGTCTCTTAGGCACTCTTGAAAATTTTATCTCTGGACTAGCATGTCATGTTAGGACTGAAGTTAGGGCATTCCACACACTTCAATTAGAACAGGACGGACTTGAACATAACCTCTTTGAGTTTGCTGTACATGTGATTCTCACCCAATTCCCCCCATTCGTTAGAGGAAAATTATTTAGAAGCTAGTCAAGTAGGTGAAAGGCACTTGTATTGTGGCTGTTTGTGCCAAACTTAGTCATGTACAAACAAGTGAATCACGACACTTGTATAATGAAGTTTATTGCCCCAGTTACAATATCTGTTCACTTGTCAATTACACGATTCTTAACTCTGGACTATTGTGTTCCTTCATGCCATCTCCCACTTTTGAATGTCTGTGTCACTTCCCTATTCATGCTAGGACTACATAAAAGCACTGAAGCTCTGTTACTATAGTGCAAGACAAACCAGTGGGAGCTGAATATTTTTAATTGGGATTTGGACATTAATGATTTAGTTGCTCTTTTGTTTTGGCTCCAGCACCAAAATGAGCTTTGCAAAGGGGGTGAGCAGTGAAGAGATTAAGAAAGGCAGCATCCTGCTGATTCGTAAGCTGTACCTCTTAATGCAGAACCTCGGGCCCCTTCCCAATGACATTACCCTCACCATGAAACTCTTCTACTACAATGATGGTAAGTGGAGAACGGTCTGCCCTGTCAAGCTGATTTCCCCTCCTGTTAATTCCCATGAGCAACACATGCCACGGTAAAGGGGAACAAAGAATAGAAAGATGAAATCTGGACCCAGAAAGCTGCTGTGATGAGACAGCATGCAAAATAGAATAGTGCCATTCAGTGCTTAAAGATGTGACACATGCTTTCTAAGGAAATAGTCACAAACTTTTAAGAAATACAGCTGGGCAATGGAAAAGGGACACATCCTTTCCCTTTACCTCAGTATGAGGAGCAAACATACTTGGCTAGGTTGGTATTTATCCAGAAAGTGAGTGTATAAATGGCATCTCAGAGTTCCAAGTTTATTATCTCTCAGTGACTCCAGCTCAAATGTGCTCTGTTAATAGACTTTGAAGCCAGAAAGGACCGTTCCGATAATCTAGTCTGACATCTTGCATAATAGATCATAGGACAGAATTTTTATTACTTCTGTAAGAGATTAGCCAGGATTTTAATTTGCATACAAAGCAGGAGGTTTCCACTAGACCACCAACCCTTTGCAAGGTTACACATAAAAAGATTTTTTTTCCTCCTCGGGCCAGCCCCACAAACTTCAATCTGAGATTAAACTGGTCTCTTTCTTTCTTGTGTATCTTCACTAATAATAAAAATTCTGTAGAGCAGATGTTACCCAATTGCACCTCTACAACCTCATTGCTTGGCTAGATGATGTAAAGTGAGGGGAAAATATGAAGATAGTGGGGTTACCCAAGTATATCTGGGCAACAGGGGGCTGCAGAAAGACTTGTGGAGGCTTCTCCTGCCATTGGGCTGCAGAAGCTTTGATGTCCTGGGGAGGATGTTTCCTTTGCATTTCACACCCCAATTAAATCTATCCAGAGACCCGCCTAATTACTTGGGCTAGGTTCTGGATTTGTCCATCATTGCAGATTAAAGTGGCTTAGAATTTAGTCTATCAACTGAGGACACTCTTCCCTGTGCAGTAACTCCTGATGATTACCAGCCCCCTGGCTTTAAGGAAGACAGCAGCCCAGATAACTTGTTGTTTGATGGAGACCCTGTCAACCTGAAAGTTGGGTCCATATCCACTGGGTTTCATATCCTGAAAGTAAGATTGACAACTGAGAGCAAGAGGATGAGGACTTTGGGAAGCAGCCTGATCCAGGAGAATGGCCCTACTGAGATCTCTCATCAAGGGTTAGATTGTGACGAAGAAGAGAGTAGTACCAAGGTAAGGAAATGGCTCCAAGTCACCAGCAGTTACTGTGGGGAGTGGGCTTTGCCTTTATTGTCTCCCCTGAAAAGAGAGACATTTTCTATGAATTCCAGCTTTAACCTGTTCTCGCTTAGCAGTATTCTGAGGTAGGGCAGCAGTGCTGTAGTGGCATGAGCAGGGTGCTAGAAGTCAGTAGACCTAAAGTTTTTTTTCCCAACATTGCACTGACTCACTGGGCAAGCCACATCCTCTCTCTGTATCTCATTCTCCCCATCTGCAAAATGAGGCTAATGACACCCACCCACCCTTGTGAAGAGCTTTAAGATCTATGGATGAAAAACTGTACAGCTGCTGGTGGTGCTAAAACTCTTGTTTTGGACATCATAATAATGTCTCTAGTCTTGCCTCATTGAAATCAATGGTACAACTCCTAGGATTTCACACTGGCAATGTAGGAAGGAAGGCAGAATGATGGGAAACTAGGTTACATAGCTGTAATTTATGGTCTCTGAATGTGACTTCTCCATAGACCCATCCTGGTTCTTCTTGTCCATTGGGTCTATGTGTGGATCAGTGTTTTAAAATTTTCCCCAGTAGTACAGTGACCTAAGGTTGACTTGTAAGTTGTATCAGGTTTTTGTTCTGAGTGCACAATCTGAGAATGAGAATCTGTGGAGGAGATCAACTCAGGGAGCTAATTGTTTTTAGCCAAATAATCTAGCTTTTCTGGATTGTCTTCACCCTCTTCTGTAAACAGATTGAAAAATGCTTTTTTAAAAATCCGTCGGATCTGAGTCTCCATTACCCTGAACTTTGTGGCATCATTTCCATCAGTGCAAAGTGAACATTAAAATGCTGTCATATCAGAATTGTCTCATGTACCTTTTCTGGCATTAAATTACCTCTCCTGAGCCCAATGCCAGTGGGACTGCATGATCATAACTGAGAATAGATTTTGGCCTGGTTCTCATTAAAGTCTCTATTCTTCTTCGAGTGCTTGCTCATAT